GCCCTGCATGGTGGGCACTTTTGCCTGAATGTTACCTTTGGGGGTTCCCAAGAACTAGAGAGGTGATAAGACCCAGCAGGCCCAGCTGCTAGTGGCAGCACCGATGAAGGTGGAGCCTCTGGCACCTGGAGCAGCTGCTTCTCTCTGCACAGCGCTTGGCAGTTTGTAAAAATCTTTTTTTCTGTGACTTGAGGATGATAAGGCGGGGCTTGTTGTCGGCGGGCAGTGTGTGTGGTCAGAGGAAGGGCTGCCAAGGACGGCCCAGCTGCAGTGTTCTCGAGGGACTGTGCTGCAAATGTGGTCAGAGAGGAGAACAGCAGGGAGGTGAGTTGAAATCCAAAGGTCTGGTCCCCTTGGGGTTGCAGCCAACCAACCCTCTACCTCTGAGGCACTCAGGGGCCAGATGACTGGACAGAGCTTGGAAGTCGTGCTGTGCAGGTTCAGGTGTATGAATCTGCAGCTGGCCCCAGCCCTCCTCAGAGGCGGGCACTAGGCTTCTTTTCACTCATTCCTTGACATTTGTTTGTTGAGCAACTCCTCTGTGCCAGGTACCGTTCCATGTCTTGGATATAGGGCAATCAGGACAGGTGAGGCATCTTCCCCACAGAGGTGACAGGGTGGGTGAGAAGGTGGGAAGTGCTGTGGAGGAAGTAAAGTAGGGTGCGAGACAGCTACTGGTGGAGGCCCCTTCAGATGGAGCCAGGAAAGGCCCGGGAGCAGAGAGCTCATCCCACTGAGGCCCTTGGCTGAAAAGAGCTGAGGTAAGGGTACCCTGGGCAGATAGAACAGCAGTACAAAGGCCTTGAGGCCAGACTAGGGTCTCGGTGTCCCTGTGCTCACATGATAATCACACAAGTCATCTGTGCTAAGAACTTTCACCTCTGTGCCTCATTGCGTGTCACCAGGATTGTCTGTGACCCCAGGGTCCTTGCATCCCCTTCACAGGTTTGTCCATGAGGCTCAGAGATGGGCAAGGTCCCAAAGGCAGAGCATAGATCTGCCCAGCTCCAAGCTCAGTGCCTCCCCAGTGGCCCCTGGAGCTGCTTCTCTTCTCCCAACCCAGTCTTGGTCTAGCTGCCCTCTGCTTCGGTGGCATTGGGGAACCCTCTCCACTCTCTGCAGTTCTCCAAAGAACACTCAGTGCCTGTCCTCTTAGCACCTACGGGAACCTTTCTGAAGTAGTTTATATCAGCAGCCTCTCCCACCCTGGCAGCCTTCGAAATTTGGGATTTAGCTCCTTGCTGGATGGAGGACAGAGCTGCTTTATATTTGGTCAAAGTTCCAGGGAAAGCACCAGACTCCAGTGTCTGGGATTTGGGAACAATTCCACCATCTAGCACATGACTCTATACATTTAGTTCAACTTTTCCTTCCACTGCTCTCGTATCGGTGGGTGGGCTTCTGCCTTCTCTTGGGCTTTACTAGTCACCCAGCTCTGAGACACGTGGTGTGTGAGCTCCTCCAGCCCTGATGCTGATACCATAACATTGGTGTCCTGAGGCATCGTTAAAAGTGGGGACTCTGTGCTCCGCCTCAGAGCTAGCGGGGACTAGGCAAGGATTGTCCCACCTTTGTGCCCTCTTGACAGGTGAGGAGAGCAGGCTCAGAGCCCTGAGAAGCCAGTGTCACCCCTAGCTCAGGCCTGGGTGTTTGTGGCATGGAGCTGATGACCATCTTTCCCAAACGAAAACATTTTTATTTCCCAGATTTTGGGAACTATTGAGAATTAATGTCCTGAAAGTTTTACATTTTAAATCACTTTTATGCATTTAGCAAATTATGCCCTAAAAGACTAAAATTGCAATAAGTCCGAACTCTTTGGGAAAACCTGGCCTACTGGGTCCACTGTGTGAGGCTTGGAGCTGGACAGCACTCGCATCCACCGGCTGAGAGTTAGGGCCCAACCCTACCCCGGATATGGCTGGCCTCCTCCGAGTGATTGGGGGTGACTGGCCTCCCAGAGTCAATGTTGGAGAAAGGGGTTCAGTCTGTACCTGTTAGGCTTTTTACTTGTTCTCCACTTCAACCCTGCCAGTGGCATCCCACTCACTGAGGCAAGGCCACGTCTCTCTCTGCTGCCCACTCCATCCTTGCTGGAAGCTCTGTCACCTGTGAGCAATGATCCTGTGTAGGTCTCGAATTTGCCATGCCCTCTGGTTCGAATTCTCTCCCCTCCCACCCCATGTTTTCCTCTTTTGCCTCCTTTAGTTCTTCATTCACACATTACCTCCTCAGTGGGGCCTTCCTCGGCCTTTAGACCTTATCTGAAGTTTCACCCTCCACATTCCATATCCAGGTCCCTTCCCTCAGCCAGCACTGAACACCACTGAGCACACTGTACAATGTTTCTTCTCTCCTCTGTGAGCCTCTAGGGGAGCCTGGCTCATGGCAGGAGCTCAGTAAATGTGGCAGGCGCATGAGCATGGCAAAGAACTCACTGCTTGTGTCCTAGTGGCCTTCTGTCCATGACTCCGGCTGTGTAGACACCTCAAGAATCCCAGTGGAGGCACTGCTGAGGAAAGGGGCACAGTGGATGGTGCCAGCCTCAGGAGCAGGACCACACAGGACAGCCTGCCTGCTCAGCTCCAGCCCATTCAACCCCAGGCTGGCCAAATCTCATTTTCAAAACAAATACCAATCAGATTATGTGCAGCTTCCCTGTTCTTAAATGCTGGCTCGTAGTCCAGAGAGCAGGTTCAGGCCATCCATAGTGTGTGACCTCTGGGTCAGCCCAGGATTGTCTCTCTTGACTGAAGGATGCTGGCCAGGCAGCAGGGTATGGCTCTGCATTTGCTTGCATGTGCTGTAGACCTCAATCATCAGGAAGCAGTAGACCTTGAACATGGAATTGCCATGTGGTCATCAGTGCTCGGGTTCTGGTGCTGAGAGCTGATTAGGCAGGGACCCCGTGATTTATGGTGTCACTAGGGGACCTTGAGAAAGCTGTATCCCTGCCATGCATCCTTGGTCCAGTATCAATTTAATTTTACACTTCTCTAAAGCCAAAGGCTACCCAAGACACATTGCAGAGTAAATTATTGGCAAGGCCAGACACTAGAACAGAGCTGACTGGTTGGAATGACAATGGAACCACACTCTGGCCTGACGCTGGCACTTCATTCAGGTCATCCAAGTTCTGGTCACTGCAGCTGCCCGCCAGGAGACTGAGTAGCCATCGGAGCCTCACTCTCGAGCCAGAGAGAAGCTGCACACTGTCCGAGGAGGCCCATGGGCTTTCAGATCAGACCAGCAGTTCCACCCCGAACCCTGTGTGACCTTGGGCAAGTTACTGATGTCTCTGAGCCTCAGCTTCCCCATCTGTAAGTTAGGGATTATATCGTGCCTGAAATGGCAATGGGAAGGGTCCAGTAAACGTGCAAGCATGCTTGACATACAGTATTAATGTCCTTTCCGGGAGAGCAGGAGGGAGGGAGGAATAGTAGTGTTTCACCCAGGTTTGCATCTGGAGGAAGAAATGGGGCACCCAGCACATGCCCCTTGTCTCTGCCCATAGTCATGGCTCCCAATTTGTGTCCAGATACTTATAAAACCCTTTGCATTCTCAGGTGATTGTGCTGATTTGCATTTACAATTTGCAACATGCTTTGGTTTAGTGTTTGGGGGAAAAGACCTGGGACTTGGGGAGCAGCCACGTGTGGTGGGGAGTTTGAGGGCTATAATAGTCAGGGCAGATGAGGTGAGGCTACAATGACAAGCAGCCCCAAGTCCCACTGGCTTCACACAGCACAGGCATACTCTTACTCACACTACCTGTGCATCTGGGTGGGCTGGGGACCCTACTGTGTGTCATTGTGATCTTCCTTCCAAGACTTAGATGTCAGCATCGCCAAGTTGAATATGGCCAGGTGGCATTGTGGAGGCAAGGAGACCATGGCAGATCATGTTCTGGCTATTAAGTCTTCTGTCTCCTGGAATTGTCTCAAGTCACTTGGCACTGGCCAAAGTAAATGACATGGTCACTCCTAACCACAAGGGCCAGAGAGGTGAGAGTAGATGGTAGAATTCAGGGTTTGGAACTGAATCCTGTAGGTGTGCCACTCAGCCACTGAGTTGCTTTGCTCCTTCTATTCCTGGGACTCTGCTTCCTCACCCTTGATATGTGGGTGACAGCTCCCACGTCTCAGATATTTTAGGAGCAAGGAGCTTTGCAAGAGCTTTTTGGAGCTGGAATTGTCATTCCTGTTAAACTACTAAGGGACACATCCTGGAGAACAGAGGTTTATGGGGGCAGAGAGGGAGCGGCAAAGATTTGGAAAGGTGAGGCAGAGGGGAGGGACAGCAGCCTGGCTGGGATGGGAGGTCTGTGGCAGAGTCTCACAGCCTTGGCACTATTGATGTTTTGGACCAGATTTTTTCTGCTCATGGTGCTGACCAGTGTACTGCAGGTATACAGCAGTACCCTTGACCTCTACCCACTAGATACTGTTTGCACCCCCTGCACTTTATAATAAAAATGCTTTTAGATGTCGTCAAAGCCCCTTTGCCCTTGTTGAGAATCATGATCTAGAGTAAGAGGCCAAGGCTGTGGGCACCTTGATCACTGGGCAGTAGTGAGGACTGGTTAGTGACTTGCCCCGAGTTGCTCACCTGGACCCTAATGAGCCCATAAGGCAGTCTGCTGGGTTCCTGGAACACCAGGAGTGGCTGTGCTGCTATGGGTCCTCAATGCTTACTCTGAACACTGTGCCCATTGTGATCTGGGCATGATCACAGCACCTGACCTTGGCTTCTTGCAGGTTCCAGTCTCCAGCCACCGCAACCCGCTCCTGGACTTGACTGTCTATGACCAGCAGGGCCGCCAGTTCAGTAACTTCAGCTCTCTGAGCATCCAGTGGGAGTCGACGAGGCCATTGCTGGCCAGCATCGAGCTTGACCTACCCATGCAGCTGGTGTCCCGGGATGATGGGAGTGGTCAGAAGTTGCATGGTGAGCTGGGGTGGTGAGCCTGCAGGTCCAGGACAGGAAGACAGAGCAGTGAAACCCTACAGACAAGAGGTGTCTGAGGAGTGCTAGCGGCTGTTGGGAGCTGTTATCTGGGACACCCTTTTATCTAGGATGGAAACTTAGGGAGCATTGTGGGTTTACCACTCTCCTTTAAACCTGTGGCCTTGTTTGAGAGATAGAGAGCAGGTTCAGAGTCTGTTGCAGGTGACCCCCACGTCCTAGGCTATACAGCAGGTTGGCCTGGCCCCAGCAGCCAGGAGTTGAACATCTCCAGCTCATCTAAACTGCTTCATGGAACCTTGCTATGTCAGCCATTATGATACATAAAGTTTCAACAAACTCAGGCATCTACTTTTAGGACTGGAAGATTTAAAACTGAAAATCAGAAGAAGGGAGGGTCTGTTTCACAGGCAGCAGTGGGGCAAAAAAAAAAAAAAAAAGACACGGGTTTTTCTCTTCTTGCACTCAGGTTTGCAGGCCATTTTGGTTCACAAAGCATCGGGAACCACAGCCATCTCTGCTACTGCGACTGGCTACCAGCAGTCCCACCTCCTCGCAGCCAGCGTGAAGCAGCCGGTAACTTCAGGGCACATTGGGGGTGGGGTCTTCTGCTCCTCCTGCATTCTCTTCAGTTTTAGTGTCCTGAGCTCCTGCACTGGGCCACACCCCTCAGTTCACTGCCCTTCTCCCTGAATCAGGTGAGATACACTCACCTGAATTGGTGAGCCTCCTTGTTGGCCTCCCGCCTCCAGTCTCCCCCACCTTGCATGACCTGCATTCAGGGGACTGGAGGGATCCAGTGCCCCCTTTCGGCTCCAGGACTTGGCTTTGGGAGCCTGCAGACCTAAGGGCAGGAGCCGTCCTCATCCTCAGCCAGGGCTTGCCCATCCACGCTCTTCTCCCTGATTGACCTGACTTACAGCCCCCGCCCCTGCCTCTATATGCCTTTGAACCCTCAGTTCTGTTCCCTGGAATTCCATTTCCTCCTTCCTTTTATTCTTCTCTCCCAGGAGCCTCCTGTTCTTTTAGTCTCACCTAAAATATCAGCCCCTCTGTGGAGAGTTCCCTGAACTCTCCTCACAGAGCAGCCGCTGTTGCCCCAGGTCCCAGAGCCCCTCATGCTTCCTGCTCTCCTAGTGCAGCCTCCACTCATGCACTGACACCCTGTCTGCACACACATGTAGCCATCCACTGGACCACACCTCTCTACCCAGCCTCTCATGGGGGCCCAGGCAGAAGTGCTGCAGTGGGTGGCAGGTGGGCACCTATAAAGTGAGTGGGAAGGGTTCCCCCAGAACGGCACTGCCTGGATGACACCCACCCCATCATGGAAGAGGGTGGCAGTCAGATTGGATTGCGAATGGGGTGGAGGCAGCAGGTAATGACTGTGGAGGGAAGATGTGTCTGACTCTGAGGGACTCTGAATGCTAGGACGAGGAACTGGGGTATTGAGGAGCAGGGACACTTGAAGAGGGTGTGACACCAATGGGAGCAGCACTAAGAGGCTAGCTTGGGGGAAGGTAGCCCTGAGGAGCATACTGGTACCTGACCCCGATGGCTTAAGTTCTCAGTCATTTCACTAGCATCTCAGCTATTGGCCTCATGGGCCTCCTTCTGGACTATAAACATCTAAGCAGATCCCCCTTCAAGGCCTTTGCACTTACACTCTGCCCTGTGGGCGTTTTGCAATTTATTTACATCATTCATATCTTCACTTTCTGTGTCTTTGTTCATCTGAGAGGCACACCTGAGAGTCTCTCCCTCTCAGACCTGTCATGGTCCCTTCAGCCCCCACCACAGTCACATCTTTCTGTCATTCTTTTTCTCTAATCCTTGCATTAGAATCATCTCCCTGAGGGTAGCTGCTGTCCCTCTAGTGCCTAACACAGTGCCTAGTGCAGTGCCTGGCACAGAGTAGGTGCTCAAATGTGTGAGTATATGTGGGTCAAAGCCAGGTCAGGTCCAGCAGTCTCCCTGGAATGACGTAGCAGGAAAGAAAGATACTTAAATATGCACATGGCCCAAGGGGTGAAAGCCAAGCTTGTCCTCTTGTGAGCACCCTGAGGACACCTGTACAGTACTCCCATGTTTAGGCTGGTCAGGGTCTTTGCTGTTTGCCCAGTACACACCTCATACATGGCACTACAGCTGGCTGGTTGCTGTGTGCCCCTGCTTTCCTGGATGTTTGTGAATTGTCCACCATGTGGAACCTGGAAGGTAGGATGGGGCACTTGCCTTGGCAGGATTATGAGATGCCTCAAAGGGACATGGCCTCTGAACGGGGCTCACACAATGGATTCATCAGGACTTGTGTATAACAAATGATACCGGAGCCTAGGGCCTCTGGTCCTACTCTTCCCCAGGGGCAACGGTGGGTGGAAGGCCTGTGGGCTCACGGGGTTGGCCTGTTGCTTCCTGGATATGATGGTGTTGGTCTTGCCCTTT